AACGGTTTACGGAAGCAATGGAAGCTCGTAACCTAGAAGCTGATGACGCTCTAAATCGAGATGTGTGGCGTAGGGTAACGCGAAGGCAGCAATAGGCTGTAGTTGGAAATGAGTATTAAATGCTTAAACCAAATCCTGTTTATATATATATATATATATATATATATATATATATATATATATATATATATATATATATATATATATATATATATATATATATATATATATATATATATATACTTAAAATTTTCTAAACAATATGAACTGATTTCAGATATACACTAACACTCATATTTGACAAACAATGATGACGTAACGGTGAACGATGACTGAACAGTCTTTATATTGATTTATATATGCTTTAGAAATAATTCCTGGGAATATTCAAGTCTCTTTAATGGTTAATAAAAAAACGGTTTTCTCTATATTTTGAATCTAATTTTATTTTTAATTTTTAAACAGCTGGCCAGCGGGCTAGAGAGGTTAAAGAAACTAAGTATCTCATAATTATTTCAGAATATTAGATAAATATTTTGTAAAAATACTCAAAAAATAATGAGCATATAGTCTAAGAGCTGGTTACATAAAAAACCTTATCATCGTTACATGGCTAATTTTTTGTGTGAAGTATCCTTTTGTGTAACCATTATGAAATAGTCATGTCTGCCAGTGCGATCGGGGGACTTAAAGCGGGGGCGGCCAATCGAAAGGGTGAAATTTTGACACTAAAAATATTATAAGGTACTCGAGTTATAATTGCGAAAATAGCTTTTATTTATAATTAAGAAACGTGGAAAATTGTTGGACATTTTTCTAGTCGCTAAAATGCCGACAGACAACGCGAAAGAGCAGTGCCTATTTTTCATCTGGTCGGGCCCTAAGGCCCAAGCAACAATTCGGGCCCTCTTTTCCAATGAAATTCAAAAATTCTCTTGTTAGTTTAGGTTAAAAAAATAAAACAATTATTGTTATTTTTTTAATAATTTAAAAATATCATAAAAAATAATTACATATATCAATCTAAAGCTTATTTTATTTAATTCTATTTTCCTTATCAGAGGTAACTTTTCTTTTCTCTCCTATGTAAATTTACATTTGAAATTATGAATATTTTACAACTTTTAAGGGGCCCCCCCAGACCACCGGGCCCAAGGCCCGGGCCTTATGGGCCTTACGGTGAAATCGGCCCTGCGAAAGAGGCATGAAATTTTAAAAATGAAATTTGAAGAATGAAAAAAATTATGGCATACATGCATGTCGATTGGTGAAATGTCATATTTATTTGTTTTAAAAGCCGTATGGCAAAAGGGCAGACAAAAAGATCCGGGTTAAATCAGCTGTAGACAGTTATCAAAAGCGCGATATTACTCTAGCCGAGCTCTACCGCTTTCAGGGAACGAACGCTCGCTGCCTCATCCATTTAAGTAGGACTGTCGGGCTGAGTATCAACTCAGACAAAACCGCGATAGTGCCATTCACCAGAAGGCGAAGTCTGAAAAACTTGAAAAGAATCCAACTAGATGGAAAGGAAATACTGCCAACACAGGAAGTTAAATACCTGGGAATAACCCTGGACAGTAAACTCCTGTGGAACAGGCATATTAAGAACACTACCAGCAACGCCATAAAGGCTCTCATGATATGCAGAAGACTGGCCGGAAATAGATGGGGCTGCTCCCCTAACATTTTGCGCTGGATGTATACCATGATAGTAAGAGCCATGATTACTTATGGAACAGTTGCCTGGTACACAAAACTAGAGCAACGGACGGCAAGGCTAAACCTATGCAAAGTCCAGAGACTAGCATGCGTTTGCATCACAGGAGCCATGAGAACCTGTCCAACAGCAGCAGTAGAGGTTATTCTAGATCTAACACCACTGCACATTGTCATTGGTAGATATGCCAATGCAACAATGATTAGAATGGTCACTAACGGAATTAGTACTGGGAGAATTGTCAGATGAGGGGCTTGGAACACCCTCAAAAAGGAAATACCACTCCTGCAACTCCCAGTGGACGACATGCCAAGAACGTACAACTTTGAGAAACATCTCAATGTAGTATTGAGCAATAAAAAGGATTGGAAGAGCGAAACGCTTGCCCAGCAGTTAAAAGACCATACCATAACTTGGTATACTGATGCTTCCAAAACCAATACGGGAACATGGATCGGAGTGTTTGGGCCAAGAGCTAAATACTCCGAACCAATGGGCACTTACCCTAATATCCTACAGGCAGAAATCTACGCTATCGAAAGATGCGTACAACTTATCTTAGATATGAACTATCGGAAACAAGAAATGGCCGTCTTGTCTGATAGTCAAGCAGCGTTAAAAGCGATCAACTCAGTATCAATCAATTCGAAATTGGTCAAAGAACGCATAGAGAAGCTGAATAAATTAGGCAAAGAAAACAAAGTCCTCCTACTCTGGGTGCCTGCTCACCAAGGGATAGAAGGCAATGAAAAAGCAAATAATCTAGCTAAGAAAGGAGCGAACACTCCACTAACTGGACAGAACCATTCTGCTTTCCAAGTGGTAACCAACTCAAGGCGGAACTCAAGAACTTGGAAGATTCCATCCGCAACCTGGAATGGAAATCTTGCAATGGTCTAAGACACTCGAAGAAGAAGTTTCTGAGGGCTTATGATCAAGAAAAAATCACAGATCTTCCTGGGTCTGAGTAAGAACAATCTTCGGATTGTCACGGGGTTTTAACAGGACACTGTCTCCTCAATGAACACCTCAGTAGATTGAAACTAAGAAGAAACGGCGAATGCAGATTCTGTGGGGAAGATGGGGAAACACCAGTACACCTCATCACTGAGTGCGCCGAGACGACAACCATTCGTGCCATGAATTTTGGTACGACTGATATTGGAGATGGAGAACTACCCTCTATAAAACCGTCCCAGATACTGGCTTTTGTCAAAGCCCTGGGACTGTATGATGAGTTATGATTCAAGAAAGGGGGACACAATGGATCTGTAAGGTCGAAGTGATTAACCCCCCTCCCACTCATTCTAAATTCTAAAAATTCTAAATCCATTTAAGTATAGATAAATCATGTATACAATAATTATATTATAAATATATTTTATTATTATTTCAAAACATATATCATATATTTACTATTTGTATCTGACTCATGACTCATCGTACTGCAGATCCTCGCTCTCACAAATGAGTCTTCCCCTGCACCGTAAAATTTTTGTAGACTTACATGTATTATGTTTCAATTGATAACGTTAACGCGGCAAGCGTTTCCAAAACGCTTATACAAGGTGAGTCGTAAATAAGTGAAAATGCTTTTAAGGGTGATATATTTCGATATTCCCCCGGAACACGTCTATGAGTTATTTTTTCGCACAAAAAGATGTAGAAAATCGTGCCTTTTTTAATTTTCCTGTATATTTTAGAAAACTTTTTAGAACTGCCTGTTCATCGCAAATTTACCCACGGTATAATTATTTCTTAACCTACCATGCTTACGGCGTTACTCTATGGCTACGACACTAAAAGAATGGATGCAAATACAAAAAAAAAACAGGTGGCTCACAAAATTATTTAAAAATAAATCAATTTCTTTTTAAATTTTCAAACTTGAACAACTCGGTTATTTTGGACTTATTTGGAAAACGGTAAAAAGAAAATATGTTTCTTTTATCGAGGTCTACCAGCTTTGAAAATATTTGCACTTATTCAAGATTTACCCTGTAGAGTAAATATCGCGCTTTTTGTAACTGTCTACCACTGATTGAACCACGATTATTTTGTCTGCCCATTTACATACGGCTTTTTAAATACATAAACATGACATTCCACCAATCGACATGCATGTAGGTATGCCATGATTTTTTTTTCAAAATTCAATGCTTTTTCGCGTTGTCTGCCGGTATTTTCACCATAAGAAAAATGTCTGTCAACAATTTTACACGTTTCTTAATTATAAATAAAAGCTATTTGACAATTATAACTCGTGTACCTTATAATATTTTTAGTGTCAAAATGTCACCCTTTCGATTGGCCACCCCCGCTTTAAGCCCAGGGATCGCGCTAGCAGACATGACTATTTCGTAATGGCTACACATAAGGATACTTCACACAAAAAATTAGCCATGTAACGATAATAAGGTTTTTTATGTAGCCAGCTCTCCGTCTAATACCTATTAATAAAAATCGATTAATAAAAAATTTAATATTTTAAAACAGGTTCTCCAAAATCAATTTAAATCAGATTTCAAAATCAAATGATAAATTTCAAGTCTATTTTGATCTTATTTTGATAATTTCAATATCTAGGTACATAATCTTAATTCTTATTTCTAAACAGCTGGTTAAAAGGTCACAGGGTTAAAGGTGCCATCTCATATTAAGTAAATATTTTGCAAAAATACCGAGAATTCCTGATTGTATTAAGAATTTTTAGTGATAAATTTTAGTTTTAAATACCAGGCGGCATTAAAAACTAAGTAATATTACCTTGTTGATAAATTGAGGCCTATTAGCAACTGATAAGTAACGAAAAAAACTGTTTTCTATATTAGTAAACGCCTAATTGAACGTATTTAGCTACATATTTTCTTAGAAAACTGGTACAACTACGTTTTACGTTTTCAACATCCATACGTACCTACCACCGGCACAGAATGCGGTAAAACGATTTTATAAAATAAATTAGTTGCGCTAAACAAAACAAATGGCCTCACATTCCCATTAAAATAAATCGAATAGCTAATTCCTACACTAAAAATACCGAAACCGAAAAACTTATTGCCTACCTTACATCTAAAAATACCTCACTGTGAGTGCACTTCGTTTTGCAAAGAGGTCACGAGAAATAAAACAGAACCTTTAAAAAAACTAGGCCAGTATAACAGAAAATTCGATAAGCTGGGCCATTGTACTGGCACAGTTATTCTATCAAAACATTCTGGGAATATTTCTGGATAAAAAATCAAAGAATATAAACATTAGAAGTCTCTAACTGACTCACCTTTAGCCTATTTAAGTTACCATCTCTAGCCGCGTTGTATACCACACTTTTGTAATCCATTTTTTTTTCGCGGCGAGCTTTGAATGGGGTCTGGCAGTACTAACAGGACGTACACACTTGCAATAACAGAAAGATTAAGCGTCCATGTTCATTACACGCGTCTCGTTATTCCTGCGGTTCAACAAACACTGAATTCAAATTCTTTCCTGCTGCAAACCAAATCACTGAACGAGAGATTATTATCATTCCAGTTGAAGGACGTAGCTCGATGACAACCGACAGCTGTTAGATGGTCGACGTTGCCGCATTGTACATTGCGCACGCATAAAATCTGAGACAAATTTGTTCAACGGTTTTATAAAAAATAAGTTTCTAATGAGCGATTTTTTAGTTTAGTTATCAAAAAAAAATCAATTTTGAAGGTAAATGTTGCACAACTTTACATAATAATCTCTTGAAATTCAATATTATATTTATATCGGTTGTCCTGAGTATTTTTCTAAATATTTATCAAGAGATCTCTGAAAAAAAAACAATAAAATATCTAGTAATCTTGAATATTGTTTCTTATCAATTTTTTATGTCAAATTAATCTAAATAACTTGTATCCACTTCAAATATCAGGTATTTTTATTATCTCTTTGTTTAGAAAATTACATTTATTGAAAAAATAAATTCTTTTTCTTGATGTTCAGGAAAAATTTCAATTTAAACTTTTAGCTTGTAGAAAACCTTTTTTATTGTAGAAATCTATTTCGTCAAGTCTTCTTGCTTCCAGGCGTGAAACAGAGATGGCGCCACAAGAAAATTAAGCAAAATATAAAAGTTATTTCGGATTCTTCCTAATTTAGTGATTCTTATTTAGAAATCTTTGCTTTCAGGGCTCAACAAATTAATTTGTATCTTTTATAAACATTATACAGGGTTTTTAAAACAAACTATTCAACTGTGGAGTTTCGTTGTTCCCATGTTTGAACAAAAGGAAGTGTGCTTAATCTCAAACAAGCCCACTCGAGCGTCTCGGGGTTTCATGAAGAAACTTTTGCATACCGACAGCTCGAAAGCAAGAAAATTACTGTAATATTCGTAGCCCGCCAAAGCAATTACACTTTTTATTTTATTACTTTACGAGGTAAAAGGTTAATTAGTGCCGTGACACGCCGCCTTCGTCGCTAGCGCCTTTCTCGCTTCCTCCCGCTGGAATGCGACGTTGCCAGATCAATTTATTTTCAGAAGGATTACTGAATAATGTAGGGATACACAGGGTGGCCCAGAAATAAGTGCAAGTATTTTAAGGGGTGGTAGATCTCGATAAAAGAAACATATTTTCTCTTTATCGTTTTTCAAATAAGTGTAAAATAACGGAGTTATTTTACTTTGAAAATTTCCAAAAAAAATGATTTTTTGCTAAAATTTTGAGTACCACTGGATCTTTTCTGGATTTTCTTTCTGGATTTTGTAAATTTAATCTAAAAATCTAATACCTATGTTGTCATATTATCAAGAAATTATGTTTTTTAACTAAAAACTAAAAAAATTTTCAAAATTTTTTTTCGCGAAAAAACCTCATAGGTGTCATTATTTCTGGGGCACTCTGTATAAGGTGGTTCAGTTTTTAGTAGCGAGGCAATAGATAAAGGAAAAGCCTTAAAGGCCGATAGAAAAAATTATTTTAAGGAAAAAAAGTTATGTCAGCATAGAGTCAAAAATGATTTCAGCAGACGCAAAAGGGGGCAGAAGGGGGTTTCCAGGGGTGCAAACAGTCGGAAGTGACGTCAGACCTAAAACACGTAAAAACTGTTAAAAGACGCTAATAAACAAGAATAAACAGGTTTAAACAGTTAAACCAGAAAAAAAAACGGTTTAAACAAGAAAAAAACTGGTCTGTTATTTTAAGCATATAAGCATTTTCTGTTTTTAGCGGTTGTTACCTGTTTAAACCTGTTTGTTCTTGTTTTAATAACGTCTTTTAACCATTTCTCATCACCTTCTCCGTTAGCATTAAACTAACTAAATTTTGAGCTTCTTTGACGTTAATCAAAATTAAAAATATCAGAAATAACTAAATATAATAATCAAAGAATGAAAACAAAATGATATTACTTAGTAGGTACCATAGAAACGCGTTTTGATTTTTAGGATTCTAGAAAAAGCAATTTTTCTCAAAACGTTAGTAATAAAAAGAATGGAATTATCTCTTCAAAGATCTTAAGAAAACCTAATTGATCTGGCAATAACGTAATCCCATTTTCCTGCTGGGTTCGGCCCGAATTTATTTGTAGGTAATTTTTTCTATAAAAAGCGGCAACGTCGCAGTCAACGTGGACTTGACGAACTTGTCAGACCGAAATCGAGGCGGAGCGAGACGCTTTCCACCAATCACCGCGCCCAAATCGCAGTGACGTATGGACGGAACAACCACGTGGCTTTGTCGTTCCCGCCGCCGTTATTGAAACAGTCGAGTCGCGGTTCAAGACTTCAAGAGAGACGAGATGAGGGATGAGGTAAAATATTACAGAATGGATAGTGCGTATTTGTGTCGTTTTGTCGGAAAAATGGATTGTGCGCGCGACGGAAAAATAATCCTTTGAAATTTCCAGCAGAAGAAGTGGATAGGACCGGGTTACGATCCCCGGGAACGCTCGATTCGATTTTTTAGGTTAGACTTGTCTCGCGACGACCAACGGGTGTGCTAGTTGTGAGTGTGAGGTTAGAACAACGATATTGTTTTTATTGCCACCCGTTTGTATCGACTATTTTAGATAGATGCACTTGTTTTAATAATTGGACACCTAAACAAAATGTACCCGACACCAAGTCGACATCCCTCCTCAGCGGTAAGTACTCAAACAACAACAAATTGCAAACAAAACAGATTGCTTTTGATATTCCATTTTTTATTATTCATCAGCAATAATGCGATGCTTTTTAACGATGCGATGTAAGTTATAACGATGTAAATAATCGGGAACGGTTGGTTTTGAAGGTGCAATAAAAACAAACGGTCTAAAAAACGCCGACTGCGCTGTTGCCGGTGTGACGGTGAACCCGATCCCATCTGACCGTGATTCATAATCGGTCACGTGATTTTTTTGGCGTTTTATAGCCGGGATTACATTGTTGCCTCTTTATTTAAATTAATTTCGTGTTTTATATTGATTTGTTGTAACCTTTTCAGAATGGGTTTGTATATTATTTTGAATAACAATATCGTTTATGGAAATTATTGGGTTTACACAAACCTGTCGGCCTGATTTGTCTCTGTTTACAAAACACGTAGTGATTAAACATACCTATAACTATTTCGCAAATATTTGATTTAGTATTTGCATAAATATAGTTTTTAGGTGTCAGTTTGTTCTTTCAGAAATTCTCTAATATTTGCACTAAGAATCTTTGTTTGAATAATACTTTGTTTAACATTTTGCATTCTGGAAATTTAATTTATTTATATTTCTCTTCGTTTTTGTTAATAACTTTATTAGGTAAGCCAGGAAGTGGTGTAGATAAATTTTTACTTAATAACCATTATTTGTGTAGATGTTAAGTTTAATTGTTTAATTATTATAGTGTGTTGTGGTATTAAGTCCCGTCTACACATAACGTTTTACATGACAGTCTTTCTTGTTCAATCAAAACGTATGAAGTAAAACATTGTGTATACCGTGTGGTGCACCGGAACACGGGACATAGGGAATCCCATGTTAATTTTGAAAAGGCCAAATATTATTTCTCCATATGATTTTATGCAAATGTTGTATTAGATTTTTTTGAAGAGGCGTTAAAGTTGCACTTTTGTGTAGAATTTTGTTAATCTTGGTCTTGCTGCAAGACTCTATATCTCTTAGATAGATTTTACTAGCGGCTCTTTCTACATGGAAAATCTTTAAATACCTAAATAGGTAGGTATCTATGAAAAATGAGATCTAAGATCTAAATAAAAAAAAACAATGCAAGACCGCAAGAATTTTGCATGCTGAGTACTGCCTTGCAATACCTATAAAGCTAGTCTTTGTCTTGGTTTTTGTGCAAGAGAAAATTGTGAAAAAAAATCAAGAAAATAAAGATTGAAACTAAAGCAATCAAACTTAATCGTGCAAGTGAGTTTTGATTGCTATGATTTCAACCATTTTTTTCGTAATTCTTTGTTTTTTTTAGGGTTCCGTACCCAAAGGGTAAAAAGGGGAACCCTATTACAGGACTTCGCTGTCCGTCCCTCCGTCTGTCACAAAGGTCTATCTTATGAACCGTTTATAGCTAGACAGTTGAAATTTTCACAGATAATGTTGCAGCTATAAGAACAAATACTAAAAACAGAATTAAATAAATGTTTATAAATAAATAAGTACTTTCACTAAACATTATCTTTTAAGTAAGAATTTTACATAGAATCTTTCAAGTCCTCGGTGTCCGCGTGGTTAAAGCGTTAGGACTTTACGCTGCTATGACGTTGGAGCCGTAGTAAGGCCGGTTCGAATCCTAGTCAAGGCGATTTTTTCTAATCCTTTTTTTTTAATTTTTACATATTTTCACATATTTATTTTTACTTTTTAAGGAAAGACTCAAAATTTAAGTGAGGATGCAGTCAATAATCACCACATAGGCTAATAAAACTACTTTTTCAAATTTGTCAAGCTTTCGAGAATTTTATTCCCATCATCAGGACAGTTTGACTGAGTGAATTAGCAAAGAAACATCATTTGCACCAAAGGGTCTTAAAAACTAGCATCGTATAACATTGGACTACAAGGACATAAAATATTAAAATACATATCCAACGATATTACTTTTTTTTTAAACACAAACAAAAATTTTAATTTTTACATTGTTATTTCAAGCTCGATCAAACAGTCACCCCCCCGTGCGTGTCTTTTTTTTTACTTTGCAAAAAGGTTTCAATCCATACCGGGATTTCAATATCCCGTTTTGGAAACCCTAGTTATAACTGATAGTGTCTAACTTCACCCCGGCTCATTTATTGTTTGTCAACATTGACCGGTGAATGTTGACATTAACTTATTTCGAACTCAAGTCACATATCTACTGTATGATCGATGACATTCTCCGTATAATTTTACATATAAAATGACAGCGATCTTCATTTCATAGCCATACCCGACGCCGTTTTTTTTCCGATCATATTGTACTTATTTTTCCGAATGCATCACACGCTCCCTCCGACGCGACGCCTCTGTTTGGCGAAATTAAAACGATATTTCACGTCGACGATGGATCGCGCCGCGTGGGGCGCAAGGGAAGAAAGGGGAGCCACCCCCAGCCCTCGAACAACCCTCGCTTCGGTGGCGCTGGGGGGCCCAGGTCGTGACGCGCGGGAGGGGGGATTACCGTGGAGCCGCCGCTCTCGCGAATCAATAAAAAGTGACATATTTTTTCAAATGAACACAAACCGACCGACGCCTGGCGTCGCATTGTTGCCGTCGATCTATTTAGCGTCGTCGGCGGCGGCGGCAGCGGCGTTCCCCCTTTTCTCGTGTTTTCAGTCTCATCAGCGCTCGTTAAGAGACTTGATATTAGAGCATGTAAGGATACAGTAAATAGAGAGTATACAGAGATTAACCGGCATAGACGGAGAGCTGGCTACATAAAAAACCTTATCATCGTTACATGGCTAATTTTTCTTGTGAAGTATCCTTTTGTGTAGCCATTATGAAATAGTCATGTCTGCCAGCGCGATCCCGGGGCTTAAAGCGGGGGCGACCAATCGAAGGGGTGAAATATTGACACTAAAATACTATAAGGTATGCGAGTTATAATTGCCAAATAGCTTTTATTTATTATTAAGAATCGCGGAAAATTGTTGGCAGACATTTTTCCCGTGGCTAAAATGCCGGCAGACAACACGAAAGATGTATAAAATTTTGACAAGAAAATTATCGCATACCTACATGCATGTCGATTGGTGGAATGTCATGTTTATTGTTAATTATTTTAAAAAGCTGTATGCAAAAGGGCAGACAAAAAAATTGTGGCTCAATTAGCGGAACTAGCGGAAGACGGTTATCAAAAGTGCGATATTACTCTCTACAGGGTGAGTCTTGAATATATGTGTGAGTGGGGTGACTATATGGGTGAGTCTGCAAATATTTTCAGTGCTGGTAGATCTCGATAAAAGAAACATTTTCTGTTTACCGTTATCCAAATAAGTCCAAAATAACCGAGTTATTCAAGTTGAAAATTTAAAAAGAAACTGATTTATTTTTAAATAATTTTGTGAGCCACCTGTTTTTTTCTGTATTTGCTGATAGGCATCCATTCTTTTAGAATCGTAACCATAGAATATGGTAAGTTAAGAAATAATATAATGGAAAATAAATTTCTTGCAGTTTTTAGGTATATAATAAAATTATATAAGAGTTTCTTGCCTTGAACTGCTAATATAGAAATAATATAGGGACTTAATATCTTACCGCTACTTTACGACAAGTCGTATTTATATATTCTGCGCTGTGCTCGTCGTTTTGTGGAAATACCCAAGCTCACCTGATGATGGGGTAGGGCCCCGAAACCGGTAGTGAGAGCAGGTTGATCCACATTATGACGAACACAGCGTGGAATTAATTTCTATATTAGCAGTTCAAGGCAAGAAACTCTTATATAATTTTATTAAGAAATAATTATACCGTGGGTATATTTTCAGTGAATGGACAGTTCTAAAATTGCGCTTTTGATAATTGTCTGTGGCTGATTTAGCCACGATCTTTTTGTCTGCCCTTTTGTATACGGCTTTTAAAATAAATAAATATGACATTCCACCAATCGGCATGCTCTGGAAAAAAGTTCATACCTCTCTCGCGTTGTCTGTCGGAATTTTAGCGACGAGAAAAATGTCTGGCAACAATTTTCCACGTTTCTTAATAATAAATAAAAGCTATTTTTGCAATTATAACTCGTGTACCTTATAATATTTTTAGTGTAAAAAGTTCACCCTTTCGATTGGCCGCCCCCGCTGTAAGCCCCGGCATCGCTCTGGCAGACATGACTATTTCATAATGGCTACACAAAAGGATTTAGCTCCCAGAATTTAGCTATAAAAATCTGGCAACAGTGGCAACCCTAGCTGCAAAGCCTTCAGTGTCTGTTTTTGTTTTACAATAGGTACGATAAGTTCATATAGAATACTATTATTTGTTTCCTGGACACCTTTCTGTGACATCACATTATGTTGTCTACAAGATTTTCGACAGTAAAACGACTCTAGTCCTTTCACTCTCTAAGGCTTAGGTCGTCGAGGGTGGCGAAGGGAAGTTATTCGGCGAAGAAGCAGTAAGTGGCAGAAAGAGGGGAAGGAGAAGTGCGAGGGATACTAGGGGAAGCGGGCGCGGCGAGAGCTGTTAAGTAACCGAGGCGTTCTCGGACAAGAACCGGACGATTCCGTGGCGATTAAACGGCGTTTAGGCGTTGGAGGTCGCGAAGGAGGGGAACAGGGACTGATTTAGGTCATTTTAGTTTATTTTTGGAGGAAAATTAATATTAGAAGGTGGGGGGTAGGCAAATCATTGACCCTATCCATTGTTTATCTTATAATTTATACAATAGACTGCCTTAAGCCCCGCATTGTATATTGTATGGGAGGGGGGAGTTAATCACCGCGACCTTATAGATCTATTGTGTCCTCTTTTCGTGAGTTATAACATATCATAGGGCCTTGACTTATAACATATCATGTCCACAGTCGGCCTTGACAAAAGCCAGTATCTGAGATGGTTTTATAGAGGTTAGTTCTCCATCTCCGATGTCAGTCGTATCAAAGTTCATGGCACGAATGGTTGTCGTCTCGGCGCACTCAGTTATGCCAACCGAAAATGTGTATTTTTTC